TTCAGTACTGTTTCTCCCCAAACTTCCGCCTCTTTCACTTTTTTTTTAATTACTTGCATCAGTTATTTGACCCCTTCTCCTTTACTTGTGTATATTTCTTTAATTATAAAACTACCTTCTTCCGAATTTCAGCACTCTTTAAACCTCTTGTGCTTCTTTTATCTGCAGCCGTTATGTGAAAGTTACCTAGTATTTACAATGCTTGCTTGATTACTTGAGGGGTGCCTAACACCTTCCCCTCGGGATAATTTCAAGCCCTTACCCAACCTGTGGTTTTCTAAATCAAATTCAATTTAGTGTTCTAATGCACTTAATCATTAGGTGGCGACTCTTCTAAATTGCAAACCCAATTCCCAAAAGGAAAAGAGTTGTCCGCCCAAATGTCATAAACCCGATTTCGCGAGAAAAAGGGGGCATCGACAATCCTACCACAGACCCATTCGCTATGCTGCCACTCTCCCACTTTGGCCAAAACCTTGTTCGTTAAGCAACTACTCGACTTCCGCTTCTTACATCTGGCCTTTTAGAAATTTAACCACCGCATAACACTTCCCATATGTCCTTCCCCATCCTTTGCTGCTCAGCTGATGCCTTAGATCAAAACCTATCTCAATAGCACTTGAACCAACATACCGCTATTAACTTTGAACCTTTCTGAAGATCATCCTTCCCGAGCCGTCGACATTAGAAACAGTGATTCAATCCTGAAGCACCGCACCCCGCGATCTCTGACAGCCGCTTCGCCAATGCGGTCTCACAATATCCTGCTCCAAAGGCAAATTGTAAAAGATCATAACACCGGCGAACCTAGTACATTCAACAAGGACAACATCACCTCATCACAGATGGAAATTCCACCACGCACGCAAATACCAAGTCTCGTTACTCCATCAACCCAACATAAACATTCTTAGCCCGATTGCCTTTCCTCCGTTGGAAATAAGATACTGGATCTCTGAATCATTCACTTAGTAACCCTCTTCTCAGGTAATTCACTACCCCGACACATAGGCAAGCATTCCACCCTCTAATCAATACTGCGCGATAATCGTTCATAAGCATCATAACAACCTGTGCATAACCTCAAAGCTCTCGAAAGTACAGCTGCTGAGCTGAAACGACAGAATATCCTTCCACAAGGCGACAATAATAGCTCAAACAACCATGTAGGGAGAAACATCCCGCACCACATTCGTAGTACCATTACAATTACTCACTCGCCGATTCATGACCAGCGCTTCGCATCGCATAAGATTAAATGGAAAGGAAATGAAGGCATAAGCCTCAAAGGGAACTAAATCGCACGATGAGGATCAAGAAGGGAAGTGCTCCTACAGCCCTGTAGCCTCTCCAAGATAGGTACAGACGTCACCGTAACGATCCGCGAGACTCTACTAGACTTGCTCATGACTCGTGAGACCTAAAGGAACCTAGTGCTCTGATACCATGTTGTCACGACCCAAAATCCATCAACGGCCGTGATGGCGCCAGACACCTCGATCAGGCAAGCCAATATTGAGTAATTAATTAAACTCTCATTTTAATATTTTAGGAATCATAATTTCCTTTAATTTAACTAGTAAAAAGGTAATCATCACAGAATAAATAAATATGTTTACAACTTTTATTATTAAATATCCCATAATCATCCCAGAACCCGATGTCACAAGTGCACGAGCAATTACTTAGGAATCGAATAAAGTGCAATAATTGTCTAGAATACAAATTGGACAGAAAGTAAATACAATACTCTGAAAGAGACTATACTGGCTGCAGGTCGCCTCGAGAAATGCAGCTCACCTAGTCCCTGTATCATCCATGCTGCTATGCCCAATAAGCCACTAGCAATACATGTGCCTGTGCAACAAAAATGCACAACAAGTGTAGCATGAGTACGAAAACAACGTGTACTCAGTAAGTATCCCGTCTAATCTCGAAGAAGTAGATACGAGAGGTCGACTTCGACACTTACAAGTGGTCCAGTAATGATACGTCAATAATATAAAAAATCGAGGATTTTTATAAACATGATTGTAATTCAATAAAATGAAGCAAGTAAACAATTCTTTCTTTTATAGGAAATTCCTAAAGTCCTTTTCATCATTTATACATATATTCTCAAGCCGGGAAGAAACAATGTCAACTTCAATAAATTTCAAGGCAAGCAATACAAGCATGCGCAAATCATGCCGAGGACGTACAGCCCGATCCAACAATATTTAAATTGTGCACTGCCAGAGGGTCGAATGGTTTGAACCATAGATGCATCTATTTAATCTACCGAGGCGTTCGGCCTGCTCCATATTATATAAATACATTCAAACAGTCAATCAAGAGTTCATCAAGGAGCAATTATCCAAGAAAAAGGCAAATTTCTCTTTTAAAAATAAGGGAACGATGACTAGTCCTAGACTACCCGGACATAAGCATAATAGTAGCTACGCACGGACTCTCGTCACCTCGTGCGTACGTAGCCCCCACAGATAGAAGCACATATCCAGTTAACTCAACTATGGGGACAATTCCCTCTTACAAGGTTAGAACGGAGACTCACCTTACTCCGAAGCCTATATCCCAATTCAAGAACGCGCTCATACCTCTAAATCGGAGCCGAACGATCCAAAAACTATTCAAATGGGGTAAGAACTAAACAATACATGCTCCAAAGTTCATATTCTAATTATTAATCTAATTTCCCAACCCTAAATGCAAAGTTCTTCAAATTCATCCCCGGGCCCACGTGCCCGGATTCCGGAAATTTTTGAAGAAAGTTGTTACCCATAACCTAAGGATCAAGAATATATGATTTCTACTCCATTCCATAACCATTTTCGTGGTCAAATATCATTTTTATCCAAAACCTACATTTTTCATCTAAACCCTTGATTTCACCAATTTTTTTACATGTTAATCTAGCCATAATCTATGTATTAAACTCATGTTGTGTAGAAATTACTTACCTCAAAGAGCTAGGTGAAAGCCCTCTTCCAAAAGCTCCAAAAATCGCCCAAGAGATGATAGGAAGTGAGCTAAATGGTCTAAGTCTCGAAATTAATAGCTGTGCACAGGACTCAGATGTCGCATTTGCGACACTTGGTTCGCAAATGCGACACAATCATCGCAAATGCGAACCCTGGGCTTCTACTGCCTAGGTCGCAAATGCGACCAAGAACTCGCAAATGCAAACCCTGTTAGGCCCGCAAATACGACTGCCTTTATCGCAAATGCGATCCAAGCCCAGTCTAGGCTTCTTCGCAATTGCGAAGCTTTCATCGCAAATGTGAGGTTCGCATTTGCGGGACCTGCATTTGGTGCCAAGAACACCAGAAAATTAAGTGTTCTTCCAACTCCCTCCACACGTCCGAAACATACCCGAGGCCCCCGGGACCCCGTCCAATCACACCACTCAGTCTCATAACATAACACGGACCTACTCGAAGCCTCAAATCACGTCAAACAATGCTAAAACCGTAAATGGAACTCCAATTCAAGATTAATGAACTTTAAAATTTCAAACTTTTACTTTCGACACTTAAACCTATCAAATCACGTTCGATTGACCTCAAATTTTGCACACAAGTCATATTAGACATTACGGACATACTCTAACTTCTGGAATTGAAATCTGACCCCGATATCAAAAGTCCACTTCCGGTCAAACTTCTCAAAACCTTTCAAATTTTTATCTTTAGCCAAATGACCTATAGACCTCCGAATTCACTTCCGATCGCGCTCCCATTACTAGAATCACCATACGGAGCTATTCCTAGACTCAGAATCCCAAACAGTTTTTGATAACACTGAAATGCGCTTCAACCCAAACTTATGAAATTCTTCCAAAAATGCTAACTCCCATAATAGGTTCCGAAACATTCCCGGGTCTTCCAAAACCCGATACGGACATATGCCCAAGTCCGAAATCATCATAAGAACCTGCTGGTACCTTTGAATCCCGGTTCCGAGGTTGTTTACTCAAAAATCCAATCTTAGTCAATTCTTTCAACTTAAAGCTTCCAAAACGAGAATTCACTTTCCAAATCAACTCTGAACTTCCCGGAACTCAACTCCGACCATGCGTACAAGTTATAATACCTGAAGTGAAGCTACTCAGGGCTTCAAACCGACGAACGACGTGCTAGAGCTCCAAACGACCGGTCGGGTCATTACAATTAGCATAAAATAGAATGAACTCTTAGCTTTGTGATCAACTGTCCAGAAATCCTCTCATAAATCCCCAATAATGACATCACCTTTTTCAAAGATTCTGGTTGAGCTGAGGCAAAGTTGATAGTGTCATCAGCATATGCCAAATGATTCAAAGGTTCAGACCCCTTAGACATACCAAATCCTATGAAGGCTTTGTCTTCCAAGAGACCCCATCATAGGACTTAGCCATGTCCATCTTAATCACCACATCAGCCGGCTTAGCTCTAAGTCTTTTATCTGTGACTATCTCTTATGTGAGAAGGATGTTTTCGAAGATACTTCTACCCTTCACAAATCCATATTGATTATGAGATATCAAGGCAGGCAAGAACTTCTCCAGTCTATCATCTAGCACCATGGATATCACCTTGGTGATGAAGTTGCTCAAATTTATTGGTTTAAGGTCAGAAAATGTTTGCACCATAGGTTTCTTAGGCAACAACACCAAATTAGTTGTGTGATGGACTTAGGCAGTGTAACACCTCCATAAAAATGTAGTACAATGCTGTGTATATCAAAGCCACTAATCTCCCACCATTCTTGATAAAATTTTCTAGTAAATCCATCTGGACCGCTGGCACTATCTCCACTCAGCTCAAAAACTGCACCCTTGACCTCTTATAGTGTTGGATATATACACAACTCCATATTTTACTATAGTCACCATGGAAGGCACATTTTCAAGCAAAGAAAAGTCTGTAGGATCACCTTCTTTGGTAAATGGATTCCGATAGAAGTCCACAGCAGCAACATACAATTGAACTTGATCCTCAAATAACTTTCCCATCTCCATTTTAAATCCTCTTCAGTTGTAGCTTCTTCCCTTTTCCATTCAAATGATTGTGAAAGAATCTAGTATTTCTACCACCCTCAGCAAACAAAGTCATCCTAGCTTTTTGCTTCCAATATTGATCCTCAATACTCAAATACTTCTTCAATTCTGCCTGGGCCTGATGAAGAACTATTCTATTAGCTCTTGTTGGTTCTACCTCAAACAACATCTCCTTCACCTTTACATTGCCCTCCAAGATTGCCAACTGCTTGAAAATGTCACCGGAAGTGACTTTACTCCATTTGGATAATACAGCCTTCAAATTCTTCAACTTGTGCTTGAACATAAGAAAATGATCATCAATGAAGTCTGCTTACCAATTCTACCTCACCACGACTATAAAAGTCTCATGTTTGGTCCAAAAATTTAGAAACCTAAGTGGTTTCACATCGTTTTCAGCTTGTTCTCTACAACTCATGAACAAATGGGCATGATCAAATCCTATTCTTATCAAATACTCAATCTCAATAGTAGGAAAAAGATTCTGGAAAGGAAGATTTACCAATATCCTATCCAGGCTCTTAAAGATACATTCAACATTAGGTCTTTCATTCCACCAAGTGAATGGACCTCCTTTGTAGCCTAGATCAAGCAATCCCTTTGAATTGACACAAAAGGCAATGTCTTCATATTCAGGAGGGTTCACTGGAATACCACCAATCTTTTCATCTTCATTTCCAGTCTCTCAAAGACTGAGCATTTTGCATACACAAAAGTCATCATAACATATTGGTTAATGTCATGATGAAACACCTTAATAGTTACCTATTGTGCAGTGTCCATGATCAATTCCTATTCCACATTAACATACAAAATTAGCCAAATCTTTCCATTAATATTTGACAAAGCAACTTTCATATTAAACCTTCTTTTGTACCTTAGTATGCGCCTTTGATTCTGAAATGGTTCCATCAGTGTAATGACAAAAAAACTATGCTCTCTTTGCATATTAATCACCCTAGGAAAGGCATGCTGTGTATTTACAGACCTTATATTCCAAATTAGTAATTTGATCATCATTTAGTTTGTGGAAGTGCCCTTCGGGCATTACTATTGTAGGTTGTGGTGCTTCCTTTTTTGTGCCTACTTCTTGCTTTTCTTACCTACCTTGGCACTAGATCTAGGAGATAAGTTAGCCTCCCTTGACACTTGTTTGAAATTTCCAGCTGTGAACTCATCATCTCTTTAATTGTCAAATTGTTGCATTTCTATTAAGACTTTATCAATCGCCGCAGGAGCCACATTGTGTGTCGCTCGGTCATGTAAGGTCTGAATAGAAGTCTTCAAAAGCACATTGATCTGAAGCTGAATAGTCTGTTCAGTTCCTGATTTACAAGCCAATGGAATTGGTGCCATGACTCTTGTTGCCTTTGGTACTATAGCCTGATCATTCTAGCTTTTAGACATCACATTTGCCTCCTTTATCACACTAGCATTATGCTGCATAACTCCCAAATTGTAACGACACGGCCGGTCGTTTTGAGATTTAGATCTCCGATCCCCTATTAACTTCCTCGCCCGTATCTTTTCTGCTATTGTGACTTGCCGGGAGGTTTCATTTTGGTTTTTGAAAGTGTTTGGGACACTTAATCCCTAAATGGTGGCTAAGTCTAGAATTTGGGACCGTGTTGGAACTGTGTGAAGCCGACTCTCGAAATGGAGTTCCGCCAATTCCGTTGGCTTCGTTGGGTAATTTTGGGCTTAGGGGCATGTCCGGATTGTATTTTGAAGGTCCGTAGCTTGTTTAGGCTTGAAATGGCAAAAGTTAAATTTTTGGAGTTTTGGACCCCGGTAATGAAATTTTGATATCCGGGGTCGGAATCCAATTCCGAGAAGTTTGGAGTAGATCAAAGTAATGTTGAATATGACTTGTGTGCAAATTTGGGGTCAATCAAATGTGTTTGGTTGGTTTCAGCATCGGTTGTCGAATTTGGAAGTTTCAAGTTTCTTTAAGTTTGGATTGGAAGGTGATTCGTGACTTAGTTTTTGATGTGATTGAGGGCTTGAATAGTTCGTATGGTGTTTGGACTTGTTTGTTAAGTTTGTGTTGAGGTCCCCAGGGGCCTCGGGCTGTGCTTTCGGATGCTCAACGATATTTTGGACTTTGAAAGATAGTAAGATTTTAAGTATTTGTTGCAGAAGTTTGTTCTTTCGCGTTCGTGAAGAGGATCTCGTTTTGTGAAGGAATGGTCAGTGGAACGCATCGCGAACCGAGGGATTAGGACGCGTTCACGTAGAAAAAAGAATAGAACAGCTAGGACCCAAAGGATTTGTCTATGCGTTTGCGTAGGGGAGAACGAGTTCGGCGAAGGGTCTGGTAGGTGAAGCTATGCGTTCACGAGAGAACTCTGCGTTCGGAAAGAGAATTTCGATCAGTGGAATTTTTTTTTCTGTGCGAACCGCAAGGATATGGCGCGTTAGCGAAGAAGGATTACCCTGGCAGTACTTAACATTCAAAAACGAGGTTAGCCATTTTTTCCAACCATGAGTTTGGGAGCTCGAATTTGGACGAGATTTTTGAGGGATTTTTTAGAGATATCAAGTGGGTAATGATTCTTAATTTTGATTTTGGTTATACCCACTAATCTATCATAAATTTATCATCTTAATTTCGGAATTAGGTAAAAATTGGGAAAAAATAGAAAGAAGTTCTTAAACTAAGATTTCGAGTTTGTGATATCAAATTTGGATAATTTTGGTACGAATGAACTCGTGAGTGATGGGTGTTCATAATTTTGTGACTTTTACCTGATTCCGTGATGTGAATCCGGGAGGCTTTTTTTGGGCAATTTTTTCAATTTCTTGCTTAGCTTTGTTTCATTAGTTAGATTTAGTTTCTTATACTATATTTATGTTATGTAATTGATTTGGCTATATTGGGCCATCCGGAATAGGATATTCGTGAAAAGAGCAATTGTGACAGATTGATTTGGCTTGGTTCGAGGTAAGTGGCTTGCCTAACCTTATGTGGGGGAACTCCCCTTAGGATTTGGTACTGTTTGATATGTGAGCGCCGTGTACGTGAGGTGACGAGTACGTACACAGGCTATTTGTCGTAAAACTCCATTTTTTACTAAGACATAACCCGTTTCTCCTTATTTGAACTACACTAGCATATGCAACTATCCTGGTTAGATTAGAATAGCAACCTACGTGATATAACTGCCTATTTGAACTCTGTGCAAGATGCTTAGTGAAATTTCCTGCTTTTTTTGACTGAACATAGCCTAAACGGGAGGGTTTCTTGTTGTAATTGTTATTTCTGTTGGTTGAGCTGCATATTTACTTTGGGACTACGGAACGGTATTTCGGGAGATTCCCCTGTTTTACATATTTACTTTGGGACTACAGAACGGTATTCCAGGAGATGGCCCTGCACATTTACATTTGGGACTACGAGACGGTATATATATAACAGTAGGGCTCTGATCTGATCTCGTCACTACTCGGTCGAAGTTAGTCTTGGCACTTACTGGGTACATTATGGTGTACTCATGCCCTTTCCTGCACATGTTTTTCGTGTGTAGATCCAGGTTTATCTTACCAGCCTCTTCACTAGTTGCAGTCGCCGCTACTTATTGGAGACTTCAAGGTACATCTGCCCATGCCCGTAGATCCTAGGAGTCCCCCTCTATTCCCCTTTGTTCATTTTTCCTTCTTTTTGTAGAAATGATGTATAGAACAGTTAAGATCTCTTAGTAGCTTGTGACTTCCGGGTTTCCGAGTTTTGGGAGTTGTTTCATACTTTTCAGTGGTGATAATTGTGTATGTCGAGTGGCATTTAGTTGCTTATTAGATAATTGTTACTGTTAGTAGTTATTGTTCATGTTTTTGTTTCATTTCCACAAAGTATTAGGCTTACCTAGTTGTAGAGACTAGGTGCCGTCACAACGGTTCACAGAGGGAGAAATTGGATTGTGACACAAAACCTCTTGCATCGCCATACGGACCCTAACTTGATGTGTTGGTGCGACGATTTTTTTTATTTAAAAAAAAGTATATTTTTCCTAAAAATAATAATATTTTGATGTTTAGTTGTCAATCAATATTTTTTAAAGAAAATGATGCCCACACCATTATATCTAATTTTAACTTCATATAATTGTTTAACCAACACTTAAACATATTATTATTAATTAATTACCAAACACATTCCAATATGCTAATATTATTGTTATCAATCTTGAACATATTTGTTTAACAAATATATTTTTCGCTTCCTATCTAACACTTTTCTAACAACTAAGTCATTTTTCTAAAATGTTCCGGTCATACTAAATACACACAATATCTTATTATCTACTATATATCAAGAGTTGTGGTTGAATGAATGATACTCCTGTACGACTTTGACTTAATAAGAAATTTCGAGTTCAAATCATGAGAATGAAAATAATCTTAATAAAGACCCCTTTCCTCTTCATTGGATCAAAAGCAATACAAATTTGAATTAGTCGAATTTCAATGCGAAAAATACTAAAAATATTTTTATCTTAAAATTCAATACAACCCCAAAGCTCAAAGTGTGTGAGTCAAGCCTTAGGTCGACGCATCAACCATCCCCATAGTTCTCTTCCTTATTACATTTCTATTTTACCCTTTTGTAGTATCTCAATACACCTGTCATAGTCCATTATCTTTTTAATTTTTCAAATTCAAGAGCATATTCAAAAATGAAATTTAACCCATCTGTTATTCTTCACCAAATATGTAAATTTGTTAAATTCATTGAAATGCAGAAAATATAAGATCTACAAGATTTCCTTGATCTAAAAAGTTATGAGATTCTGCTGGATACATATAACCACTTATCAAAATGTGTATTAAGATTAAGACATCTTAATCTGAATACACATCTGAATATATTAAGATGTGTATTAAGATATTAATAGAAATAATTAAGACTGTTTTATTTTTAACATCTGAATGTATAAAATTTATCTTTATTTCAAAATTAATAAACATAAAATTCAAATGAAATACTAACTAATCTAATATTCTATCAATAATATATACAGCTTTTTAAAATATGATAGTTTTTGGTGGTGATGGCTAACAGGTAAATGTCAACTAGAGGCGGTGGTTGGTGGAAGTTTTGGTTGATGATGGTGGTTCATGCTAGTAGCTAGTAGTGATTGGTAGTGGTGGCAATTATGATTGAGGATGGTGGTGGTGGGTGGTGATAGTTAATAATGGCGGGTGGTGGTAATAGTTGTGACTGAGGAAGGTGGTGGGTGGGTTGTGGTAGGTTATAAGATGGGCAATACCGGTTGAGATTGTTGATGATGATGGGGTAGTCAGTTGTGGCAGTTGAGGTGATGAGTGTTGATTGTGGGTGAGAATGATGGTGGTCAAAGTGGTGGGGATAGTGGGTGGTGATGGTTGATAATGGTGGCAGCTATGATTGAGGATGATGGTGGTGTGGTGGTGGTGGTGGTGGTGGCATAGTGGTAGTTGATAATAGTAGGCGGTGGCGGCAGTTAATATTGAATATGTGATAGCATCTTAATGAAATTAAATCTCTGTTATAGATCTTACTCATACATACCTATTCAGACCCATTAAGTAGTTGTGAAGCAAAAAAAGACAAACAGACTTAATGATTAAGATCTGAATAATTAAGATTCAGACTTTAAAAATAAACGCACTTAATGTCGAAGATCTGGATGATTAAGATCCAGACCTCCATTAAGTGCAAACAAATGGGCTGAGGCATATAGTAAAAATTACCTATTATTTTTTTTGGCCTATGTTGAGATGAGTTTGAAATAGTCTTTTAAATATATATATATATGCTTAAGCGTTTTTATCATTTAAGTTTGTTAAAAGTGAGTTGTTTTTCTCTCTACTAATATTTATAAATGTTTTGATTATTAAATATAACGAGAACTATAAAAAGAAATTATCATAGAAAGTAAGAGCTCGAATAAAAGGGTCAAACATAGTTTGTCCATCATTTATTAGTTTATCTTGAATATCTTTTGATATCTCCAGAATGCCATTCTAATAAAAGACAAAAGATATCTCTATTTTGTTTCCATTGTTAGTCTTTCATAGTTGTATGGGCAATTCTAACATTTGAATACTTTTTTTGCAAACAGATTAACTGTTTACTATCAATTTCACCAGTTATATATATTCAAACATGTAATTATTTATTTATAAAATAAACTTTAACACTTAAAGTGACTTTTAACATTTGATACTTATTAGTTACTTTTAATCACCTAAGCCAGACCTGCTCTAGATCCGCTTTTATATATGACCATGAAATTTATGCAATAAAAGTCCAATGATCGTACTCATGCTGAAGGGGTGAGAATTGAAATGCTTACTTTGAGCAATCAACATTGGGT